CGGCATACCAGCAGCAACTACAATATCTTTCTGGCCTGGATCCTGAAGAAAATTTTAACTATTTAGTCAAGATTTGCCTTTGTTTTGGGGTTTTGCTGTGGGCTGACCTAGAGTCCCTCTGTTCAGGAGATGTCCTGTGTGAAGCCTGTGCAATTGCTTTCACCGTAGGGGTGTTCCCCAAACTCAGTCAGACTGGCAAGGGTGTCCACTTTCATCAGAATACCCTGCAACTCATATGCTCCACTTGCCGCATTTTCCACTGATAAAGCCAGTTGTCATGCCTTTTTGACGTCCAGTTGTGCTTCAACTCACAGGCGCTTTAGCATGATTACATCATTAGTCCCACATACCAAACAGTCTCTCAGCATCTCATTAAGGGTTAAACCAAAGTCACATGCATCTACTAGGCATCTTAACCTATCAATAATGCCGGTACAGATTTCGCCTGGTTCTCGAATTGCTAAGTAAAATCAATAGCATCTCAGAATTAGCGGTGGCTTGGGGTCATAATATTCCTTAACTAAATCAGCCAACTCTTGAAAGGTTTTAGGATCTGGTGTCTCAGGGAAAATTAGGCTCGTAATAGCTGAAAAAGCTGTGGGTCTACAAATTGACAGGAGTATTATTCATTGCTTTTCATCTGCCCCAATGTCATTTGCCTGGAAAAAAATAATACAACCTTTCCACATTCTGAGCCCAGTCTTCAATGACAGGATCGAACAAGCCAAGCTTCCCAAACAGTGGCATGATGCCAGAAATGTTTACCCCAACTCATAGATGAATGTTGTGAGCAAATTTCTTCAAGAGCATTGCTTTACTCTCATTGCCACTGAAATAACTCCACAGTATCCCGTCACCACATCATCCTTTATTTACATGTGGAAAGTCTTTCACACTGTTCCAGCTCTTTCAAAGCTGACACTCCTGTTTATATCTGTCAGACAGGGCTTCCTGATTGGACCAGGTTAATAGCTCCGATCAGGGAACTCATATTCTATGAGGTCCCCTGGATGACCTTGTGACAATCACTACACCGAGGAACAAGCATGGGACATAGTGCATGGTTTTCAGTTGGCTATGTAAAACAGTTCAAGGGTCTCTGAAAGAGCGATTCAAAGAAAATAGGCAACTGGTGAAGCAGAGTAAGAATCAGGTTTCATGGCAAGCAGTGCTGATATTTAGTTGGACTGCTGAAAAAAGCAACTGAACTAGTCCTGCATTTTGGGCTCAGGAAAAAGCCCCAAAAAATTGTTGGATAGTTCTGTATCATTAAACATAGAAACATAAAAACATAAAACATAGGAGCAGGAGGAGACCATGAGCCCTTCGAGCCTTCTCTGTCATTCATCACGATCATGGCTGATCGTCCAACTCAATAGCCTAATCCTGCTTTTTCCCCATAACCTTTGATCTCATTCGCCCCAAGTGCTATACCTAGCCGCCTCTTGAAAACATTCAATGTTTTGGCATCAACCACTTCCTGCGGTATTGAATTCCACAGGCTCACCACTCTTTGGGTGAAGAAATGTCTCCTCATCTCCGTCCTAAATGGTCAACCCCTAATCCTAAATCTGTGACTCCTGGTTCTGGACATACCCACCATCGGAAACATCCTCCTTGCATCTACCCTGTCTAATCCAGTTAGAATTTTATAAGTCTCTATGAGATCCCCCCTCATTCATCCGAACTCCAGCAAAAACAATCCCAACCTAGTCAATCTCTCCTCAGACGTCAGTCCCACCATCCCTGGAATCATCCTGGTAAACTTCGCTGCACTCCTTCGAGAGCAAAATCATCCTTCCTCAGAAAAGGAGACCAAAACTGCACACAATATTCTAGGTATGGCCTCACCAAGACCCTGTATAACTGTAACAACATATCCCTGCTCCTATACTCGAAACATCTCACAATGAAGGCCAACATACCATTTGCCTTCTTTACTGCCTGCTGTACCTGCATGCGAGGACGCCCAGGTCCCACTGAACACTCCCTTCTCCCAATTTACAGCCATTCAGGTAGTAATATGCCTTCTTATTTTTGCTTCCAAAGTGAATAACTTCACATTTATCCAAATTTTAATGCATCTGTCATTGATTTGCCCACTCACCTAACCTCATGGATCATGGTGAAGGATCTCTGCACAGTTCATCTTCCCACCCAACTTGGTATCATCTGCAAACTTTGAGGTGTTATGTTTTGTTCCCTCATACAAGTCATTAATATATATTGTGACTAGCTGGGGTCCCAGCACTGATCCCTATGGCACCCCACTGGTTACTGCCTGCCAATTTGAAAAGGATCCATTATTTCCTACTCTTTGTTTCCTCTCTGCCAACCAGTTTTCTATCCATCTCAATACACGTCCCCAATCCCATATGCTTTAATCTGGGACAATAATCTCTTATGCGGGACTTTGTCAAACACTTTCTGAAAGTCCAAATATACCACATCGACTAGCTCCCCCTTGTCAACTGTGTACTAGTTACATCTTCATCGAATTCCAACAGATGTGTCAAGCAAGATTTTCCCTTCATAAATCCATACTGACTCTGTCTGATCCTGCCACTGCTTTGATAATGAATTCAAGAATTTTCCCCATTACCAATGTTAGGCTTACTGGTCTATAATTCCCTGTTTTCGCTCTATCTCCCTTTTTGAATATTAGAGTAACATTAGCTACCCTCCAATCTGCAGGGACTGTTGCACATTCTATAGAATCCTGGAAGAAGACCACCAATACATCCACTAGAGCCACATTCTTAAGTACTCTGAGATGTAGATTATCAGGCCTGGGGATTTATCTGCCTTCAATCCCATCAATTTTCCCAGCACCATTTCTCTACTAGTATTGATCTCCCTCAATTCTTTCGTCTCACTAAATCTTGGATTCTCCAACATTTCTGGTATCTGAATTGTGTCCTCCTTTGTGAAGACAGAACCAAAGTGTGTATTCAGTTGCACAGCCATTTCTTTGTCCCCCTGTAATACATTCCCCTGTTCCTGTCTGCAGGGAACCTACATTTGTCCTCACCAATCTCTTTCTCTTCAAATACCTGTAGAAACTTTTTGTGTCAATCTTCATGTTCCCTGCGAGCTTACTTTCATACTGTATTTTTCCCTTCTTAATCAATCCCTTGGTTCCTCTTTGCTGAATTCTAAACTGCTCCCAATCCTCACACATATTATTTTTCTTGGCCAATCTGTATGCTTCTTCCTTGGATCGGATACTATTTCTAATTTCCTTTGTAAGCCATGGATTGGTCCTCTTACTCATTTTGCTTGTGTGCCACACAGGAATAAAAACTTGTTGTAGTTCCCCCATGCGTTCCTTGAATGTTTGCCGTTGTCTATCCACTGTCATCTCTTCAAGTAACTCTCGCCAATCTATCAAGACCAACTCACGCCTCATATTTTCATAGTTTCCTTCATTAAGATTCAGCACCCTTTCTCCGAATCAACTACCCCACTCTTCAACTTGATAAAGATTTCTATCATGTTATGGCTGCTCATCCCCAAGGGGTCTCTCACAGCTAGATTGGCAATGATTCCCTTCTCATTACACAGTATCCAGTCTACGATGGTCTGCTGTCTAGTTGCTTCCTCCACATATTGGTCAAGAAAACCATCCCATATACACTCCAGGAATTCCTTCTCTACAGCATTGTGGCTAATTTGATTTGCCCAATCTACATGCAGATTAAAATCACACATGATCACTGATATTTCCTTATCACATGCATCTCTAATTTCCTGTTTAATGCCATTCCCAACATCATCACTGCAATTGGGGGTCTATATATGACACCCACTAATGTTTTTTGCCCCTTGGTATTTCTCAACTCTACCCATACAGACTCCACATTGTCAGAGCTAATATTCCTCTTTAACCAGCTGTGCCACTCCACCACCTTTTCCTTTTAGCCTGTCCTACCTCAATACTGAATACCCTGGGACATTCAGTTCCCAACCCTGGTCACCCAGCAGCCATGTCTCTGTAATCCCAACTATACCATGACTGTTTACATCTATCTGCGTGATTAGTTCCACTTTATTGCAAATGCTCTGCGCATTAAGGCTCAAAGCCTTTAAGCTTGTCTTTTTAACATTGTTTGTTTTGCTCTTATTTTTCTCAATAGCCCTCTTTGAATTTTGTCCTTGGTTTCTCTGCATATTACTTTTCTTATTCCCTTGCTCCCTCCTTCTCTGACCCCTTATGTAGCTCCCCATCCCCCTGGCATATTAGTTTAAACCCTCCCCAGTCGGTTAGGCATCACTCTCTCTAGGACATCAGCTCCAGTCCTGCCCAGGTGTAACCCATCCAATTTGAACAGGTCCCACCTCCCCCAGAACTGCTCCCCATGCCCCAGGAATCTGAAACCCTCCCCCTAATACCATCTTTTCAGCAACGTATTCATCCGATATATCCTGTCATTTCGACTCTGACCAGCATGTGGCACTGGTAGTAATCCTAAGATTACTGAATCCTGATCTTTGAGATCCAATTTCTTAACTTTCTTCCTAGCTCCCTGTATTCTGCTTTTAGGACTCTATCCCTTTTTTTTACCTATGTCTTTTGTACTGATGTGTACCATGACCTCTGGCTGTTCACCCTCCCCCTCCAGAATGTCCTGTACCTGCTCTGAGACACCCTTGACCCTAGCACCAGCGAGGCAACATACCATTCAGGAGTCTCATTTACGGCCACAGAAATGCCTGTCAATTCCCCTTACAATTGAGTCCTCTATAACTATTGCCCTGGCACACTTTTAACCCCTCACTTCTGCAGCAGAACCAACCATGGTGCAACAAGTTTGGCTGCTGCTGTTTTCCCCTGAGAGGTCATTCCCCTCAACAGTATCCAAAATGGTGTATCAATTTGCAGGGGAATGGCCACAGGAGATTCCTGCACTACCTGCCTATCTCTCTTTCTCTCTCTGGTGGTCACCCATTCCCTTCCTGCCTGCAGAGTCTGAGCCTGCGGTGTGACCACCTCTCTATACGTGCTATCCACGATACTGTCTGCCTTGCGGATGCTCCACAGTGTCCCCAGCCACTGCTCCAGCTCTGAAACTCGAGCTTCCGGGAGCGGTAGCTGGTTACACTTCTTGCATACATGCTGACCTGGGGACTGGAACTGTCCCCAGCCTGCCACATGGAGCAAGAGGAGTAAACCAAAACTTTGAGCTCTCCTGCCATGATTTACCTCTCTAAATTAAACCTTAGAGAGTACTTTATATTAGATTAAATCAAATCCAATTATCTGTGGCCCTTCTTTCCTGGTCCATGTACTACCCTTGCAGATTATAAGACACAAGAAGGAGCTGCTTAATGCAACTGAGCAAGATTAGAACTCAGGAAAAAACCCAGGGGCAGTACTGGCTTTACGAAGCTAACTGTTGTTGTGAAGCTGGAATTGTGTTTGTGAGTAAGTGCTGGAGTGCAGTTTCTAGAACCTAGAGGACTGTACTCCCAGGAAAGGAGGGTAACGTCCAGATTGTAAGCAAGCATTGAGGCTGACCACGATGGATTGGCTTTCAGGGGAACGTCAAGACCAGATCGTCAAAAGTGAATAAGTCTAATCCATTGTGTAGTTTTAATAAGATTTGTTGATGCAATTTGTCACTAATGTCAGGAGGAGAATTGCTGATCAATCTATGGAATGTGTCTTGATCACATTTGCCCACTGATTGCCAGTATTCTCTCCTCACAGAATAATATATGTTGAAAAGAATTACAGGAGATTATCAGATTTTTCTGGACAACATTTCAGTAGTGCAGAAGCACAGCTAATGTCCTCCTCCTCCAACCCATCTCAGCCCTTCTGGATGAGTTGTTAAAATGATGCTGGTTCTACCTTCTCAGGTGACCACGAAGAATCCAATCGTGGTTATAAGAATAGCTACAAGTTATTTGCAGTGTTCCTGGTGAGACTTTCTTGCCTTCAACCAATATGATTGAAAAGAGATTGTCTGGTCATTCTTACAATGTTGTTTGTAGGAGCTTGCTGCGTACAAATTGGCTCTTATCTTTCCTATGGTGCCCGTAAATGCTTGGAAACGTCTCAAGGCCATTCTTTATTCGTTCACTAATAGCTAACCAATGCAGGGAAATAACTGAAGCTCTTGGGTTGGAGCACTTGCCCACATCTACAGTGACCTCTAGTGGACTGTCAGGTGAATATGTTTTCAGAAGGAGTGATTGAACGCATGCCGTCGGTCTGGTATTGCACTGACACTCTCCAACCACCTCCAGCTCTCGGACTCCATTAAGCAGCAAAACCCCCTCGACTCTCACCTGCACTAGCTCACACAGAGAATTATGGCGGCATGAAAACCCTGTTGGCATTCAAGCAAATTCCAACGTCCGTTCTACTGCTAGCTTTTGGAGAAAGGAAAATAAGCAACGTGAAACAACAGTGAGGCAAAGTTTAGTTGAATTGGAATCAATGTCCTGTAATGCTTCTCAAAGTGAATAGCGTACCATCAATTCTCACATTAACCAGGAAATCAGATTTCCACAAAATCATCTTTCTATTCTGCAGAATTCCTGATCCAATTTATATTGAACTTTCCATTTTGACTTCAGAAAATATTTTTTACAAGATAGAGAAACAAAATACTAAAGATACTACAAATATAAAATTAAAACAGAAAATGCTGATAATAATCCATAACTGTAGAGAGAGAAACAGAGTTAAGATTTCAATTCCCACGAGGAGCTCGAACAGTTCATCCATTTCACCAACACCTTCCACCCCAACCTTAAGTTCACCTGGACCATCTCTAACACCTCTCTCACCTTCCTGGACCTCTCTGTCTCCATCTCGGGCAACCACCTAGAAACCGATATCCATTTCAAGCCCACCGACTCCCACAGCTACCTAGAATACACCTCCTCCCACCCACCTTCCTGCAAAAATGCCATCCCCTATTCCCAATTCCTTCGCCTCCGCCGCATCTGCTCCCAGGATGAAGCATTCCACTCCCGTACATCTCAGATGTCCTTGTTTTTCAAGGACCGCAACTTCCCCCCCGCAGTGGTCGAGAACGCCCTCGACCGTGTCTCCTGCATTTCCCGCAACTCATCCCTCACACCCCATCCCTGCAATAACAACCAAAAAAGAATCCCCCTCGTCCTCACGTACCACCCCACCAACCTCCGGATCCAACGCATCATCCTCCGACACTCCCGCCATCTGCAATCCAACCCCACCACCAAAGACATTTTTCCGTCCCCACCCTTATCTGCTTTCCGGAGGGACCACTCTCTCCGTGACTCCCTTGTCCGCTCCACACTCCCCTCCAGCCCCACCACACCCGGCACTTTTCCCTGCAACCGCAGGAGGTGCTACACCTGCCCCTACACCTTCCCCCTCACCCCCATCCCAGGCCCCAAGAAGACTTTCCACATCAAGCAGATGTTCACCTGCACATCTGCTAATGTGGTAAACTGCATCCGCTGTACCCATTGTGGCCTCCTCTACATCGGGGAAACCAAGCGGAGGCTTGGGGACTGCTTTGCAGAACACCTACGCTCGGTTCGCAATAAACAACTGCACCTCCCAGTCGCGAACCATTTCAACCATTTCACAAGCTTCAAAATCTCCCCTCCCCCTACTGCATCCCAAAACCAGCCCAGCTCGTCCCTGCCTCCCTAACCTGTCCTTCCTCCCACCTATCCCCTCCCCCCCCCCCCACCCCACCCCCCATTTCCTACCTACTAACCTCATCCCGCCCCCTTGACCTGTCCGTCCTCCCTGGACTGACCTATCTCCTCCCTACCTCCCCACCTACACTCACCTTTACTGGCTCCATCCCCGCCTCTTTGATCTGTCTGTTTCCTCTCCACCTATCTTCTCCTTTATCCATCTTCTTTCCGCCTCCCCCTCTCTCCCTATTTATTTCAGAACCCCCTTCCCCTCCCCCATTTCTGAAGAAGGGTCTAGGCCCGAAACGTCAGCCTTCCTGCTCCTCTGATGCTGCTTGGCCTGCTGTGTTCATCCAGCTCTACACCTTGTCATCTCAGATTTTCCAGCATCTGCAGTTCCTACTATCTTTAAGATTTCAATTGATGACATTTCACAGGAAAGCTAGGTTCAAACCTACCACTGAGGAAATTTACTCCTCTATTTTCCTTATAAATACTTCATTAGTTTTAATAATATTAAACTTTTTGTGAGTTAATGAAAAGTGTTTTTTTCCTTTTTTCCATGAACCTCGTTAGCTTGGAGTTGTTCCAGCACTGAGAAATGCGTAGGAAATCCTAGAAATTCGGAGTTGTAGTTTTCTGATCTCTGACGGTTACCACAGTGAGAATGACATTTCCCAATGTCAATGCTGACAAGGCTGCTGGTAATATCTGTCAGGACAAAATGGTATGGGTCACAACGGAGTAGGACGACCTAAATGTACATTATGTTTAGAATGAAATTCACATCACTTTACAAAAATTCTTTTTGACCATGCTCAGGAAAAACATTACAGCAAAGCAACCAAAAGATTTCACAAACTGATTATCAAAGAAACATGACGAGAAACCTACCTAGTTGAGGCAAAAGTGTAGGTCTGCCTGAGAGAGGAAGGTGTTGCATCAGATGGAGGGTGAGACTAGACCAGACAGAGTAAACATAAGACGATGAGTTCTGAGAAGGGTCACCAGACCCGAAGCATTAACTCTGTTTTTCCCTTCACAGATGCCGCCAGACCTGCTGAGCTTTTCCAGCAACTTTGTTGTTGTTCCTGATTTACAGCATCCGCAGTTCTTTCGGTTTTCGTAAGACGATAAGAAATGGAAGCAGCAGTAGATCATGTGCCTGATGACCCTAGTCTTGCATTCAGTGTGATCATAGCTGATGTTTGGCTTCAACTCCCTTTTCTACCCCAATCCCCATATTCCTTGATTCTCTGAGAGACCAAAAGTCTGCCCATCTCAGCCTAGGACATACTCAATGATGGAGCATCCAGAATCCTCTAGAGCAGAGAATTCCAAGGATACGTATCCTTTTGAATGAAGAAATTTTTTATGTCCGTCCTAAATGAGGACAGCTGCACAGGTACTACCTGCAATCCTGACCCAGTTTGCACAGCTCCATTTGATGATTCCTCTCCCAAACTAGTAAATGTTCTTATGCTGTTTTTGATTAGCTCAAATTGCCCTCTGTAAATAACCTATAATCAAGATCAGATTGGGTCACTTGAGTCTCCAAACTAAGTTGTTGGGACTGCCAGATAATTTAACTCATAGCGTGCTGATCCCACAAACAAAAGAAGTCATTGAGGTACATGGCCATATTCCCACATTGAGGGGGGAAAATACTCATCATCCAACCCAGAAAGGTCATAGAATCCTTAACCACAGCATCCAATATTTTTCTGAAAGAGATTTCAGGGGGTTTGTCTCTGCTGTCCATTTAGAGGTTTATTCAAAACATGATCACTCTTTATGAGAAGGAAAATTACCACTTTGGTTCTGCTCTACAATGTAAACTATTGCAGGTTATTAGGTCTAATTATTCCATTGCTTGAACAGTATTATATACTTATATAAACTCTTGCACATGCCTCCATCACAGGCTGAAAAATCTAGCTCGTTTTAATCTTTTCTCAGACCCCTGTCACTAGGGAACAAGCCTTTGTTCTAGTGGCTAGCCCTATAACCAAGCAGCTTATGCTTTTCAACACTATAAAGGCCTCTAAAGCTTCAATTTTAGTGGTTAAGACGACCACACTGATTATAAACCAGAAGGGCACCAACTGCATTTTTGGTAAAGGCCAAAAATAGGGGAACCACATGTGCCTGCCTGAAAAAGGCATTGGTCTTTTGTATTTGCAAATAATGGGCATTTTGAAGCCCTTTTGCAAGAGACTATCACTTAATCCAGTCTCTTATTCTAACTACTGTACTTGTCTCTTCTTCACACAATGTTAGATTTTGGGTCTGTTTGATGATAGATGAAAGATGGAAACTAATTGGAAATACATGAGTATCCCAACACACTCTGTGCCCCATCCTTTGTGTCAGGCTCTTAGATTGTTTTGGAAGTGCACTTTGCTAGGTTTCAGCAGATATAGAATTTAAATAAGGTTTCAGTGTGCCTATTCATATATCTAATTAAACATACATAGGGATTCATTCACTGCAAACAGAAGGGATATGTTCAAGCCTTGTGTGTTTTATGAATTACTCAAGAGTTTGTGGAGCTCAGAATTCCCCATGGCAACTTCTTAGCCAATCAGGGTCAGTTTGTCAACCTGTTAACACCCTTTTCTCCTGCAGTATAAATTGCTGTGATTATTTGGAATTTGGCATTCTTGCATTAGTCCTGATGAGTGCAAGTCAAAACAAAACTTCGGCTATATGTCTCTCTTCTCAGAAACGTCCAAATAATTTTATGAAATTTGTACTAAAATACCAGTGACACATAAGCACGCCATATGAAGTATCTATGTTTCCTTTTGGAATGTCCAAAGGGTGGGTATGGTGGCTCCTTGGTTAGCACTGCTCCCTCACAGTACCAGGGACCTGGGTTCGATCCCAGCCTCAGGCAACTGGCTGTGTGGAGCTTGCACGTTCTTGCCATGTCTGTGTGGGTTTCCTCCCACAGATCAAAGATGCGCATGTTAGGTGGATTGACCATGCCAAATTGCCTCCAGTGTCCAGGGATGTATAGGTTGGGTGGATCAGCCATGGGAAATGCAGGGTTACAGGAATGGGGGTGGCTGATTCTGGATGGGATGCTCTTTGGAGAGTTGGTGTGAACTAGATGGGCCAGTGTTTCCACACTGTAAGGATTTGATGATTCCACAAAGTGCATCTAAAGAGGTGCACAGGAAAAAACTTACATTTATACAGCATTTTTCACAATGGCAGGACATTACAAAATACTTGGCGTCCAGCAATACATAATATAAAATGCTTCAAATTTAAGAAATAGGGCAAACAGTTGCACACAACAACATTCCATAAACAGGAATGTGATCATGTGCAGATACTCTATTTTCCTGATGATGGCTGGAGGATTAATACTAACCAGGACAAGTGGCTGTGTGGTGTTTTATATTCATCTGAGAAATTGGACAGAATTTTGGATTAATATCTCATTTTAAGTATGCCTTTTTGGAGGGAAAATAACAGGGAATATAGATAGGTGGCCTTATGTTCCTTCAGCATGGGATTCTCAAGGGTGAGCATTCTGAATGACAGTCGGCAGAATCTGACCTGAAAATGTCTCAAGGGTACTATCTTGATTCTAAGGATGAATGCCCACTATATCCTCTGCCCATTAGGCAATTCTAGGGACACAAGGGATTGAGGATGACTTGCTTCCAATTTGGCTTGTTGGATTTTGAGATGGCTGAGAAGTCCAATTCATGGTCTACAGACTCTGTCATGATTGGACAGGTGGTGCTTGAAGAGTTGGGTGGGTGAAGTTCTCTCCAATTTGTTGATTTGGCCATTGCTGGTTCCCAATGATGTCTGTCAACGTGTTCAATGTCTTCCTGCATCAACTTTCTACATTTTGATTGTTGACAGCAGAGGTCACCCCTCAGTCAGCAGAGATTGTTGGAGGACATTCCTGAAGTGTTTTCACTGGCCTTCCAAGAGTCCCTGCCATATACAAGTTTGTCATGTCTGCATGAATATAGCTTTCATCACATGACCAATTGTGTCTAAAAGCGTTGCTCCCACAGATTGGTGGACTTTCCTTGTGGCACATCACTTTCCTTCACCAATCAGATTACAAACAAGTTCTTCATCATACATTTCACTTTCAATCAACAATCTTTTTTCTCACTCTTTAATTTTATACCACAGAAGTTTTCAAACAAAAATGTTTTATATGTTTCCTGAGTAATGTAATTCCTGGAAATTCCAGAGCAGTCCCAAAGCATTGTTAAATATGTGTGAGTGAGCTCCCAGTAGCACTGTTGCCCCTGGAATCTAGTGTCAGACATATGAATGATATGTCTTGCCAGTGGAGCTGAGTAATTAGTGCCTCAGAGCTGGACATGTTGACTTGGGAGCAAAGGCTGCTCTTAGTCCACCCTGCTACCTTCAACAGGAGCTTGTGAATGGCCATATCAGTAATCTCCAGTCATTCAAACTGAGATTTGGTCTGAATGGAAGTTTAAATGTGGCTAATCTCTATTGGTCAGGATCATGTCCAAGAATGTTCAGAATAATTTCCCTAAAGAGGCTTCTGATGGAGATAATAGCAAACACAAATTCATAGAGAATTAGAGATGAAGAAGGCCATTCAGCCCATCTTAATTCACCCATCAAAAGTACCCCATTACCTATCCAATTGTATCTTATATAATTGCAGCGGTTCTGTGATGCACTACAGTCCATGCCACATTCTGTTGTCTGTGCTTCTGAAGAAGAGTTTCCTGATATCAGTGTTAACTGCCCCTTATTAGTTTGCATCTGTGCCCCTTTGACCTGCCCAACTCATTGGCTATCTATCTATATATATATGTATATAGCTTGACTGAACTTGTTCCAATGATAGTGGAGAGGTTTCAGGAGGTGCGGGGCGGGGCGTGGGGAGGGAGGTGCGGTGGTCATACTGGTCTTGACAGTGGTGGAAAATGAGTTCATTAAAAATCTGCCACTCCATTTTACAATTTGAAGTCAGGATGTGTGTAAAGCATGAAACACAAGGCGATTCCCTGGTAATCTGCTGCCACTGGAGTAAACCATTATCTCATGTTATCCTGTTACCAAAAAAAAACCAGAAAGATCAGAACTAAGCAGCATCACAGAGTGGCTATTCTGCTTGAGCCAAAGCAATAAAGAACATATGTACAGAAAAGGTTCCGTTTTAACTTGTTTGTGTTCCCCACTGTCTTGAAGCACTGGGCCTGTCCCCATCAGAATTTCTCCAACTGTGGAGTCTTGAATTGCCGAGAATATCAGCAGAGGGTGCTGCAGGGCAGCAGCAGTATTACAAAATACCACAGCAGGTATTGCCTCAGACCAGCAAAGGTTGTCTCAGCGGCAGGTTGTCAGTAGGTGTGGAGGACAGCTGCCACATTCTGTTACTCGACAGTCACTGGTGAGGTCTGTCTCTCTATGCAGCATCTGACCTGAACAAAACAACAATAGCATTAAACCTCAGAGACTGTAAGAACTGCCAATGCTTTAGTCAGAGGTAACACAGTGTGGAGCTGGAGGAACACAGCAGGGCAGGCAGCATCAGAGGAGCAGGAGGGTTGACGTTTCGGGTCAGGACCCTTCTTCAGAAACTTGATAAAACTTGATGAAGGAGCAGTACTCTGAAAGCTTGTGATTTCAAATAAACATGTTGGACTATAACCTGATGTCATGTGACTTCTGACTATAGCGTAAAAAAGACAGAGACACTCCCTGATACACTGAAGGTTCAGGGAGCTTCCTTGCAGGAATCAGTGGAGGTGTCAGGCAGAAACCAGGTCACAGCCACCTCACTGAGGGGCCAAATGCTCTACTCCTGCACCTACTTCTGTGTTGTGAAGAAGTTATGATAAAGGTCCAAATGCAAAAAGTAAACCACTCTGACTTTTCCCCAGACTCTGACTGTGTTTCGAGCATTTTCTTGGTACAGAAATTACACTAATAGTAAGGAAAAAATAGGGAATCAAATAGGTGTTCAGGACAGGATGCCATTTGGTCTAGCAACTTTGTGCTGGCTCAGTACTGGATTTTTATACATTTTCCAGTTTTCTCCTGTTCCCTGGTGAGACAGGGGTTGTGCAGTGCAGCAACAATAGCTCTACAGGCCTTGACAGAGGGTTTGCAGTTGCTGATGATTGTGAGTTTAAATAAGGATGCTCCTGGAATACCATCTTCCCAAATGGGCATCACTAGATTGCAAAGCATCTGGAGCATAATGTAATTTTGAACAGAGGGGACAGCCAGGAACACCCTCTCCTACAATGAACCGAATGGTGAGGTTCATTGATGTGCCCATTAATGGGCCACACACGAATAGTTTGAAATTTTCAGTCAAGGTTGAGAGAGACACAGATTGTCTGTGTATTGCTGTCCTGAACACTTCAGGAAACCATCAGAGCTATTGCACTGCTCAATCAACATATTTAAAAAGCGGAGGACCATACGCGGCTGCTCTCAACCAATGGCACCACATTCACAGTCACTGCTGTTGTGGTGCAGTGGTAGTGTCCTTACCTCTGAGCCAGGAGGCCAGGCTCAAACCCCACCTGCTCCAGAGCTGTGTAATAACATCTCTGAACAGGTTGGTTAGAAAATTCCTTGCTGCTGTGAACAGTGAGAGCCTGGACTTACTGAGGGAGTTGTGAAGCCGCTGGTGTCACATGAGGAGTAGCTGCTTTTACAGGAAGTCATCAGTGAGTGAATGAATGTCAATGGCGGAGCTGAGATGGGTGCAAGCAACTCTGCCATTGAACAGAGCAGAGAAATGGGGCTACAGTAGATGCTACTTCCTGGTGTTGAGGAGGCCAGAGGAGTACAGGGAGAGGCTGTAAGAGGAAGAAGACACTACGCAAGACATCGGGTCAATCACACCTATGAATAACAGAGTGCCAGTACTGCAGAGCATCCATGGAGATGGCCTTGCATACTTGTGCTTTGGTCCCCAGTGACATCAGGCCTTGCAGTCCCATTGGCAGTCCCCTAGATTAGGTAATCAAGGTCACTATGGAGTTGAATCCTTACCCTTCTGGCTGATTCTGAAGATCAGCTTGAAGCCTGGGTGGCATCTCACATTCAGCAGCTCATCGCATCTTCAGGAAGGTCACAGAAATCTTACTGTTGAGGACAAGGGAATACTTCCACTTCAAGACAGATTCACCAAGGCAAGTTCAGAAGGTTTAGGATTAGCTGCTATTGATTAATTTTCTCCTGGTGACTCCTCTACTGCTGGCTTCCATAGTCACGTCCACCCAGGCGCCTTTTGTATTCATTCACAGAATGTGGACACTCCCAACAAGACCAGCATTTATTGTCCATCTTTAACTATCTTGATAAAGGGCAGCATGGTGGCTCAATGGTTAGCACTACTGCCTTAGAGTGCCAGGGACCTAGGTTCAATTCCACCCTTGGGTGACAGTGAGGAATTTGCACATCCTCCCTGTGTCTGCGTGGGTTTCTGCTGGGTCCTCTAGTTTCTTCCCACAGTCCAAAGATATGCAGACTAGGTGGAATGGCTATGGGAAATACCAGATTACAGGGATAGGGAAGGTCTGAGTGGGATGCTCTTTGGAGGGTTATTGTGGACTCAATGGGCTGAATGGCCTGTTTCCACATTATAGTAATTCTATGATCTAAAATGGTGGACAACATTCTCTGTAAACTGTGGGGCTGCACAACCGCTTTGAGGTTCCATGCATGTGAATCAGCGTGGTTGAAGGAATATATAGAATTCCAAGTCTAGATGTTGTGTGAATTGGAAGGGAAGTTACCAGCAGTGATGTTGCCATGCAACAGCTGTCCTTGTCCTTCCAGGTAGTAGAGGTCGTGGGTTTGGATGGTACTGTCGGAGAAGCCTTGATGAGTTACTGCAGTGCATCTTGTAGATGGTTCACACTGCTGTCACTGTTTGTCGTGCTGAATTTTGTCGGTGGTGCCAATAAAGTGAATGCTGTTGAGCGTCTTGAGTGCTGTTGGAGCTGCACTCATCCAGACAGGTAGACAGCAATCCATCCCACTCCTGACTTGTGCCTTGTAGATGATGGACAGGCTCTGGGGCAACAGGAGGTGAGTTACTCACTGCAGAATTCCTAGCTCCTGACCTGCTCCTGTAACGACATATTTATATGGCTGGTCCGGTTCAGTTTCTCATCAATGGTAACTCCCAGACTGTTGATATTGCGGGATTCAGTGACGTGAATGCCGTTGAACATCAAAGGGTGGTGGTTAGATTATCTCTTATTGGAAATGGTTACTGCCTGGCATTTGTGTGGCACAGATTTTACCTGCCACTTGTCAGCCCAAGCCTAGATATTGTTCAGGTTTTGCTGGATTTAGATATAGACTACTTCAGTATCTGAGGAGTCACAAAAGTTGCTAAATATTGTGAAGTCATCAACAAACATCCCAATTTCTGACTTAATGATGGAGGGAGGTCATTGATGAAGCAGCTGAAGATGGTTGGAGCTAGCACTCATCACCTGAGGATCTCTTACAAATGAATTATGGGTCTGAGATGATTCACCTCAAACAACTATAACCATCATCCTTTGCATGACACCAACCAATGAAGAGATTTCCCCCAATACCACTTTTGACTCAGGTTGTAATGAGTTCAGAAAATGTGACTATTCATGGCTTTAGGCTGTGATCATGCTAATCAGTTTGTAACAGAAGCATCTGAGCATTTGAGTTGAGCATTATTCTATGTTCAAAAAATCTTGCCTTATCTAACCTTTCTCATTCCAGGCTTAATAATTTGTTTGTTTTTGGTGCCTCCATCACTGTCGCTGAAACTTCTTCCTTTCAACCCCAATGTTCCATTGTGACAGCTCTTGTTATGGGATTTTATTTCACCTGCTGGCAGCCCTGATGTGAGAATTCCAAAAGGTGACCTCTGATCGGGGGAAATTTACAATAATGATTGCACTTTTATTGTCTTTGAATTACCTTGAAATATGCCAAGGTTATAAAAGCACCATATAATTATAGTGTTTATCATCCTCCAGCCGACAAAGTACCAGGATTATTGAATTCAGTTTAATAATTTACATTGTGTGACAAACTCAATGCATCAAGGTTAGTAGGCAAATGGCATAAACAAAAAAAATTATTGCATCTTCCATGAATTCAGAATCTCCAAAGCCACTTTACAGTCAATGAACTACTTTTTAATTTCAGTCACTGTTATAATGCAGGAAACATAACAACCAGTTGATGTGCAGCAAACTCCCACCAACAGCAATGCAGGGCTGAATCCTACAATATTTTAGTTATGTGTCATTTTTATTGAGCTTCACAGAAGGTATCACCTATCATGTTTTATCACACTATTGCCCCAAACTTGTCTCATTAATTATAACATGCCCCTTGAATGCTCACCTGATTCTACCACTTGCGGTAGCCATAGGGTCTTGCCACTTCCAGGAT